ATTTGCCTTGATGGTGCAAAAATGGTAGGGGTGCACCGATAAACATTTTCTTGGACAATATCGATAGCTGACTATTAACCAGCCATATCAGCTAGTATTGATCAGATAACCGATTTACAGGAATGCAGCCAGGCAGCGTGGAGAGCAGCGTTCTGCAGGTAAGTCTGTGGAGTGGAAGAGGTGTAAGAGAGAGAAGGGGCATGGGGGGAAGATTGAGGCCCTGACAGTGAGGGAGGGAGTGGGGGCAGGGGCTGGGGGCACTGCCCAGCCAGGACAGTGAATGGGACCTGGGGCCAGGTCGGATGGTGAATGGGACCTGGGGCCAGCGTAGGCAGCTTGTCCAGGTGATCAGCATCCCAGTGCTTAAAAATGGTGGTGGGGGTACTTGAACTAAAGCTCATAGTTCAAGTGCCACCACCACCATTTTTAAGCACGGGTACGTTTCTGATGGGAGTGGAGCTGAGAAGGGCAAGGGTGGATGTAGGCTGCTCGCTGTGGGCTCGGGGCTTAATGCACTGTTGCCTTTTCCCTGGGGGCCTCGCACTGGCCGTGTGTCCCCTACCTGCCTGGCAGAGAGACGCACAACTCACCGCCCCCACTACTGCTGAGCGGGCAGGAGACGCATGGCCGGCACAGAGCCCCCAGCGCAAAGGCACCAGAGCAGAGAGCCCTGAGCCCACAGTGGACAGTCCGCATCCACCACACACACAAATCTGGGGGGCACATGCCCTCCCCATGCCTCCCCCGGGGGGTGTACACAGCAGTGGGGAGCCACCCCCATGACCCCGTGCCCCCCGGATGAGCCACCTGTGGCTTCGTCCTGCTCCCTGCCCCAGGTCCCATTCACCCCCCTGGCTGGACAGCATCCCCAGTTCCTGCCCCACTCCTCCCTCACTGTGGTAACCTCAATCTACACCCCCCATGCCCCTTCCCCTCCACAGACTTACCTGCAGGGCACTGCTCTCCACACCGCCTGGCTGCACTCTTGGTCATGTGGCTGCGTGCATGCACGTGGCATCTGGGGGCCCAATATTATATTTATTGGTGACATTATTGGCTACACTGGCCAAAAAAAGCCAATAGCTAATAATGGTAATTTTCCTTTTATCGGTGCCAATCCAATATGGCACCAATATATCAGTGAACTTCTAAAAATGGTTTAAAATAAAAAGTTAAAAGCACTTAGAATATCTCCAGGCAAGCTCAACCTTACTTAATATCTGCCTTAAAAGACTGAGATGAGTAGAAATAAAAATAACGTGAAAACAGTATGATAAAAATGATAATGGAATCTCATTTGCTTGCTGTCCGTTACATTTGTAAATTCTTTGGGACAAGGATCCTGCCCTCATTTTTGCTTTAAAGCTCTCTTCTTTTGAGATTCAAAAGGTTGCATGAATTTCATTTGCTGCCCCCTTGGCTTCTCAAGGGCACACGTAGCTTCTCAAGGGCACACGAGAATCTTCTGCTTGCATCTCCCAAAACCACACAGCAGGACTGGAGAGGAAAATTTCATAGCAGCAACTCCTTGCCTGTGAACAATACGAGAGAGGAACAGGGTCTTCCCTGTACAATTATCTTTGTAGTGCAATCAGAAATCCTGTGAAGCCATTAACCAAAATACTAACTTGATCCTACCTAGACATGAGAATATTGTAAGTATGGACATGTCATATACTGAAATCTGGAGAAAAAAAAAAAAGTCTAACACTTAATTCAGGCATTTAAACCTTTCTAGACTAAGTCAAGGCACCTTTTCATTGATTTTCTTTATAGAAGGATTGCTCACTTACTAGATAGGGGCTACTAACACTGTGCAGAGGACAAAAAGTTATCATCACTATGCATCATATAATAATTCCTCCTTCTTCACCTCAAATTTGAGATAATTTTGCTTGTTCAGCCCCAGAGTTTCTGTAATATTGAACAGGAAAGAAAAAGCCAGGAGACTTGCTAAGCGACAGCCAGTTCTGACTTTAGAGATGGAAAAGACATGTCTAGTTTTGTTTAGCTTGTTTCCTTGTGTGAACACAGAATCAGAGACAAGAAGGGCTGGAAGGGGCCTCTGGAGTTCACCTAGTCCTTCCACCTGCCTGACATCCCATACAAATCCTTGTCTAACCCCTTAATAAAACTATACAATCAACGCTATCTTGCAACCTAACTTACCACAAGGAAAGCAGGGGGACAATGGCGATTAGTATCCTGCTCCTGGAAGGGTTGTCAAACATGACCAAACAAAGATCATTCCCCAGGAACCAGGAACAAAACCTCAAATGTGCTTTTTAATAAAACCTATGGGGAAAAAGTTAGTCCCCAAAGGAAAAAGCCTTTGCCAGGTTTCCTCATGTCATTTCATAAGTGAATAGGTCCACTCTCATCCTCATCAAGTTTTTCAGTCTTCAGAGTTGATCAAAGTTCAGTTGAAGCCCTACAGTTCTTCATATTAGCCTCTCCACATTCCCCTTTGCTTTCCCTGTCTACGTCTTTCTGGACACATTGCAGGGCTCCAACTACAATTGGATAATGAATGGAAACTTCCCAGGTTTACAATGAGCTGGGAACAATGCCCTCGGTTTCTTTCTTGGATTTGGTAAACCCCCTACGCCTTGGGAGTGTTTGCAAGAATCAGGGTTTTGTTGGTGGTATCTTCTCTTGCACCAACCATAGATCTGGGAGAGATGTTAGACAAGCTCTTGGGCACAAAGTGGCCATCCTCAGGGCTGGGAAAAGAAGCAGGTTATTTGCAGGCACTTTCATGGGTAAATACAGACTTCTGAAAAAGGTGCTGCAGATGGCAAGTTGCATCATACACTCACAGAGAAGTAGGGCTGGAAGGGACCACCAGAGGTCATCTGGGTCAACCCCCTGCCTGAAGCAGGATCACCTCTATCCAAACCATCCCTTACAAACCATAATCTAAACTCTACATAAGACTGATGTCAACCATGACACAACACAGACTTAACCCCCTAACTGCCACAAGTAAAGCAGAGAAACCACAACAGCCAATGCGCTGCTTCTATAAAATGTTCTAAATATATGCTCAAGAGGTCCTGGGTAGAAGGCCGCACCCATCCCTACAGAGGAAGGCAAAAAAACCCACAGTCCATACCAATCTGACTGTTCCTTCCTGACCCGAGATATGGTGATTGGTTTGACCTGGAACGGAGGGGCAAGACCCTCTAGCCAGGAATCTCTCTGGCTTTAGTCCCAGCAGGAGCACTGGCATACCCCAGTCAAAGTCCCCAGCCTTGGCTGTAATAAACAGCCAATGTCCTGTGAAAGTTTAAAAATACCCCAACACATATAGCAGAATAAGAGAGGAGGTTGGGGGGAGACATGGGAAATACCCATAAAAGAACATAGGCATAGCTATGCCTAGAACATCCGTGACCAGTGGCTGTTCAACCTCTACTTGAACAGCTCCAGTGATGGAGAGACCACAACTTCCCCAGGTAGTCTTTTCCACCGCCTCACTGTTTTAACAGTGAAGAAGTTCACGCACAAGAACAGCACATCTTTTTCTCCAGCTAAAAATAGACTGTAAGTTTTACTAATATGCAAGCCAGGGGCTTAGGGCTGAATCATTCTGTTTAAGGGTGCAGCAAAAACAAATACAACTTCACTGGAATGAGTTAAAAGCTATCTGCAGCTCTGTGAAAAGGAGCTTTGAGACCAGGAGCAGCAAACAGAATGGCAGAACAAAGGACAGCTCAACTGGTGGAACATCAAAAGCATTAAAGAAGAGGCGTTTTAACACCTGTGGAATGAGGAGTTGGAAGGGATCAGGTAGATTATAATGAACCATGAAGAGAAGACAGCCTCAGCACTGCCTGGCTAGAAATGCTGCTGCCACTGCCAGGCAACTCCTCTTAAACCTTGGGTGGAGCAGGAATCAAATTCACCGGGAAGGAGGCAAGTGCACCAATGCACCGCCACCGCCCAACACACACACACACAGACAAACATCTCCCCCAACTATGCAGCTGGTCCAATAGGGCGCATCCTCACAAGCACACACATATGGTTTGTGGTGCCGCACACGTGCACCTGTTTGCTGAGCTAATTTGCAGTGCAGTGGGTTTTGACAACAGGAGATCCCAGTGTCAAAAAGAAAACAAAAAAATGACTGCTAAAAAAAGCAGTACTGTGCATGCAGCAGCAGCAGGCGCCGCCAGAAAGGGAGCCCTATGGGCCAGAGCCACACTGTGGCTGCCTACCAGGCTCTGACCACACACATCACTGCCCCACAGAAGCCCCTAGGTAAAGTTGCTGGCCCCAGCCTCCTCTCTCCCACCTGAGGCAATTTGCACCAGAGCACATGTGCAAGGGCTGGCCCTTGCCTGGGGAGAAATAGCAGCAGCCAGCACAAATATGTACACACCCCTGCACATGTGCACTCATGGCAACGTGCCCGTAAGAGCTATAACTAAGATGATCTTCCTTCTCATACTGGACCATGAGGGCCACAACCCCACTGAGAGCTGGGCACGGTGTCTGGGGAAGAGCACAGGTTGCTAAGGAAACAGGCAGGCAAGGCTCTTGGGGTAATTACTGAGTGAGCACAGTATGGGGGTGCAGGGGAGGGGGAAGAGAGACAAACCCCCTCCTCACAACCAGCTGCACTGCACCCACGACACAGAGCCAAACCCGCACCTGACCTCTACCCTACCTCCAGCCCCGCCCCCAATGACACAACATGCGCGCGTAAAGCAGCTGGCCGTTGGAGGCACGCAGACGCAGTCACACACCAGCTCAGAAGCCTCAGGTCCGGATCACGCAGGCAGGGCGCTGACGTCACTAACCGCAGGAAGCGGGAGGTGGGCGGGGGAACTGACTCAGCTCCATCGCCCAGCCCCGCCGCCCCAGCGCGGAGAAACCTGGGAGCGGCGCTGCGCACGCGCGCTCCCCCCTCACTGATTGGCCGTGTATTCCTGGCGGTGCCGGTTCCTTGCGCCGCGCGGCCGCCCGCGTTCCCATGGAGACGGCCGTGAGTGATGCTCAGTCCCTTCTCTCCGCCACTCCTCTCCGACCCCCACACCCCCAAGCCTTGTTCTCGCGGCCGCTCTCTCCTGCCAGGCCTGCGGGGCCTGGGCGGCGGCAGCAGCGAGGTCCTGCCGCTCGGCTACAGGTGCGGGCTGGGGGGAGGGGGGCGAGTATTCACACACACATAGGTACGTAATCCATATATGCAAGGATTACATGTGTGTACACGTGTTTGATATACATGTCTGTATATGAATAGGTTTTATATATAAGTATGGATATGCATATATGATGGGGTATAGATCTATTGCATATTTATGGTATGTATATGTGTGTGTGTGTATATATGCATGCATATATATGTGTATGTATATGTACACATACACATTTCCATGGCTGTCCCGCATCTTGACAGATGAAAGGAGACATACATATTTATATGTGTGGATTATAAATACACTTATGGATTACTGATTTATGTATACATATCTATATGGATTACAAATATACATGTGTAAGTGTGTGTGTGTATACACACATCTATAACATAATCTGTGTGTATATATGTGAATTATTTATTTAAATAGAGTTTATAAAGTATATATCTCAGTGTGTGTGTACATCAGTTAATTATATATGGAGCTATATATATGGATTATAAATATTGTGTGAGTATGTGTGTATATATATAGTATGTATATGGACAATAAATTCGTATTACTATATAGACATGGGTTACAAATTATAAGTACGTGTGTATATATGAACTATAAATATGTATAGCGGTTCTGTCTGCCTGTCTACCCATATATCCGTGTGTGTACATGTACATGTATCTGTATAGATATTTACATATAGATATGTGCAGATTATATAAATATATATCTGAACTATTTACATTAGGAAAAAAAAACCTGAAGTAAGTGCACACACGCACACACTTATCATCAGTGATTCTCAACCAGGATGCCAGGGCATCTTGCAATTCCCCCAGATCTTTTGAAGGGTGCCCTGAAGTGTGAAGAGATAAGCAGATAAACTAAACTCAGGCTTGCCCCTGCCTGGATGATCCTCCCATCCATGCTGCCAGGCCCCTCTGCAAGGAGGTAAGCACAACAATCTGTAAACTTAGTTTTTGAAATTGTGTGCCACTCAACTCACAAAAGGTCTGGAGGGGTGCCTTGAGTCCCATGAAGGGTGCATCAAGCCCCAAAAGGTTGACAGCCACTGATATGTGTATATGTATAGCACAAGCTTTCACTGGCCAGCGCTCACTTCATCACATGCTGTGAAAGGACTTGTATAAGAAAGAGAGAGAAGTTTAAATGCAGAAGGAAGAAGAAGAGGGTGCCAGGGAGAGGGGCAGTGTTGGGAAAAGCAAATAAGCAAAGAACCCATAAGAATGAGAAGTCACAAAAGCTAATCCAGGTAATGGGGTAAGAATCCATAGACCTTATGTAAACGATACTTAATACAATGATAAGAGGTCTTGGAGTCAAAGCAGTTCTGAGCCTGGTGTTAGTGGAAGTGTGTCAACGTGGTCTTTAAACTACTAGTTTTCAGTCTCCATTTCTTATAGCAGTCACCCGTGAGGCTCTTTTCAAACCTTTGGCAGTTCCAATGCTCATTTTCAATGATTTTATGAAGGGACCTCAGGAGTAGATGTGCACTGATACATTGGTCCCATGTCGTATTGGCACTGGTATAAGGAAAATTGACATTATCAGCTTTTTCTGGCTGATGTGGCCAATAATGTCTCCGATAAACGCCTTGCGCATGCGCACAGCCATAGTGCAGCACGCAGGCAGCCAGGAGTGCAGCCCTGCAGTGTGGAGAGCAGCGTCTGGCTGGTAAGTCTGTTGTGAGGGAAAGGGTGGAGTGGGGTGGGGTTGGAGGGGCAGGTTGAGGCACCTGCCCCTGTTCCAGCCCTACTCCCACCCTCACTGAGGGCCTTGATCTGCTCCTCCCATGTCCCTTTCCGCTCCCCTTCCCCCACAACAGACTTACCAGCCAGATGCTACTCTCCATGTTGCCAGGCTGTATATTGGTAGTTGGATTGGTATCGGTTGATATGACTCATTAAAAATCGGCCATTGGTATCGGCCCAAAAAATTTCTATTGGTACACCCCTACTCAGGCAGTCGTCTAGTCCTAAACCCCTGCTCAAAGCAGGATCATCTGCAACTAGATCATCCCAGCCAAAAGTTTTGTCTGCCTGGGTCTTAAAAACCTCCAAGGATGGAGATTTCACAACTGCTCTGGGTAACCTGTTCCAGTGTTTTTTACTACCTTCCTTGTGAGAGAGTCTTTCCTTGCATCTAACCTAAACTTTGCCTGCTGCAATTTGAGACCATTGCTTGTTTTGTCATGGGCCACCACTGAGAACAGTCCAACTTAATTTTTCTTAGAACCACCCTGCAGGTAAAGACTGCTATTAAATCCCCCCTCTGTCTTCTCTTCTTCAGAATAATTAAGTGCAGCACCCTCAGGCCACCCCCCCCAGCCCCCTAACCATTTTTGTTGCCTTCCTCTGGACTCTTTCCACATCCTTTCTGTACTGGGGGACTCAACACTGGACACAGTATTTCAGATGTGGCCTCACCAGTGCTGAATAGAGGGGAAGAATTACTTAATTTGATCTGCTGGCAATGCTTCTACCAACGCAGCCCAGTATGCCATTAGACTTCCTCACAACAAGGGCACGTTATTGGCTCATATTCAGCTTCTTGTCCACTGTAACGCCCTGGTGCTTTTCTTCAGAGCTGCTGCTTATCCAGTCATTCCCCAGCCTGTGCTGATGCATGGGATCAGGGTGGATAAAAATCAGTGATTTAAAATAAACAAACAGATTTTTAAAATTTAAATCAGATTTTTTTATTTCATTGTATTTTTGATTTTAAGATGCTTTTTAAAAAAACACCATTTAAAGATGGTTTTAATTTAAGATGCATTTAACCTCAAAGTTATCATCATGGAATAGGGATTGTAACTTCTAATTATATACTATTTGAGACAATATATTGTAACATTTTTAGAAGTTTTATAAATAGGTCATAACAGGCCATGGACTATATTAGGGGCCTAATCTTATGGGGTTCCCAGAGGCTCCTCTATAGATTAGTAAAGGTTAAAGAAAACCGCTGTACCCAGTAGTCTTAGTGCTCAGCCTAGAAGATACCATTAAGCGTCTCTGTGATGCTTAGCTTCAGTTCTCAAACAGTGGATTTGTGTCTCCAGAGATCATAGGCAGACAAGGGTCTTTGAGCAGATGTGATATCTTTTATTGAACTAACTACATTTTTGGAAAAAAATGTTCTTTGCAAGCTTTCTGGCACAAATACTCTTCTTCAGGCATAGGGAGAGTGTGTTGCCTTTAGAGATAACATCCTCGTTAACAGCAGTATATGGAGGTGAGAGAGAACAAACCCGATTACCTACCCATCAGCCTTCTTGTCTCTGCAAATTTGGCTACACAGAGTCAAGCCCTTATCTTTCTCTAAAAGTACAAAGTTTCAAGAAGTTAAAATGAATAAAGATATCAGACAAAAAGAATGCACTTTTTGTAGAAAACAGTGATTAAATCAAGGTTTCCTGCCTAGTGGTTTCAATCGCTATTTAAAACAAATTCACCCTGCATGGGATTGTTCCATCCTAAGTGCAGGACTTTGCACTTGTCCTTATTGAACCTCATGAGATTCCTTTTGGTTCAGTCTTCCAACTTGTTGAGGTGTCTCTGAATCCTAGCCCTACCCTCTAGTGTATCTGTTACTCCCCCCCCCAGCTTGGTAGTATAATTTGCAGTCTTTTGACACCAAACAGATCACATCAGCTGATGAATCACTTGGAGATGGTGGTTATTGGTTCTAGCACCAAGCCTTGCAAGAGTCTGTTTCTGTAAGATCTCCAGGATCGGTTTTGTGGCCAAAACCACGTGTAAATACCTAACCTCAGAGCATCAGCTCAGCTGCCATGATAATCCATCCAGAAATCTTGCTGACATCTTGTACAGCACACCTATGTGTCTGATGGTGTCATAGGCTGCTGTATGTGAGATCAAAGACAGCTAGCCCAGTTTTCTTCTTCTGTTAAAATCTATTTTCAGTGTACATAGAATCTGCTGCTACTAGGCCAAAAGTACTTCAGTTTGGCTGGAAACTTGCCTGAAGTTTTTCTGCCACATGTGTAAGTTTATTCAGTCCGGGGGTTTTCTGCTACAGCTCAGGGGGAATGTTGGGCAATAGGTGGATACTAAAGGATGGTCTTTTCTTGGCAATAGTATAACTGTCAACTTATCTTTTCACTGTGTGACATATATCAAGGTCACCTGTACTATATGGAACATGAATATGGACAAGGAGTGTTGCTTCCTTTGCAAGGAAGGAAGTAAAAGGAGGTATAATATTAGGTTGTCAAAGCTGTATACTTCACCTGGTTTCAGTGATTTTGGTACATATTGGCTTCTTCCCTAAAGAATTGCTGGAAACTTTAATCTTGGTCAAGAGGTGACATTGCTTACACTTTCCTGATCGACTCCTAAAATTTTTTATCCAAGTCTGAATTATTGACATTGGCAAGGTATCTGGTGACACTGTTTGTTGAGACTTATATCTGTTCAGTGGATTTTGTTCTTCATGCAACTACCTGTGGAGTTTCTAACTCTTCCTGTTTGATTTTTTACTTCATTTCTGAGGTTGCATCTTCATTGCATGCTCTTTGGGCTACTTTCGGGCTCTCTAGCAGGAGGCAACATTAAATATAGTTTTGTCAGACCATGTGTATGTTTGATATGTTGTGCAGATGATATATTCCCTTCAGTTACTTGATTAATAATAGTTGCAGTGTATCCTTAAGCTAGAGCTCACTATTGATACGGTAGCGTCAGTTTGGCTTAGAAGGGGGCTGTGTTTCCCGCTCAACATTTCCAAGGACTCTGGAGGTAGCTGTTAAAGTGTTGTCTCATAGAAGTGACCCAGCTGAAGTTAAAGAAGAAAACCTTGTTTCGTAAATTTACTACTTTCTTTGGGTTGTGAAGAAGATCTAGCTCGTAGAGGGAGGCTGATCTGCAAGGTCTAGCCTACTCTGATCATCAGGGATCCTGGTTTTCTCTGATTTAAAACAATTCCCAATTTTCAGTTTAAAAAAAAAAGTAACCCCAAATCCACATTTTTCTGCGATTTAAATTAAACACCACTGATATATAGATAAATATATAGCGGTGTTTCATTTAAATATCATGGGAAAATGTGGATTTGGGGTTACTTTTTTTAAACCAAAAATTGGGGATTTTTTAAATCGGAGAAAACCAGGATCCCTGCTGATCACCCCAAGTAATATGATATCTATTAAAGTCCTCCCTGTAGATGGCAGGATATTGGAGCAGTGGTAGCCCAGGCACAGGCACTAATTCTAAGCTTACAGGCACTAGCCGACTTGCACAGAGTGATCCTGATTATATCATAGTCTAATGCAAATTACAGTTTCTCCACATCAGATAAATAGGTCAGCTGTGTTTTCCCGACAGCCTGTAGTTTGTGGTCAGAGATCGTGAGCTGATTGGCAACAAGGAAAGTAAGATGGGTTTCCTGAAGGCAGATGACATCAGTGTTGTGTGGGTAGGTACTGCTTTCAGGAACAGAAAGGATTGTGGTTGATAAACTGTTGACATTTCTCTGAACCACCTTGAGCAAAGGGCAGGAATTTAGTGCATTTCCTGTCCTTGCCCAGGCTAGCAGTAACTGAGATTAAGTGGAATCAGTTTTCTGGTTGCATCTTTGGTTTTCCCAAAGATAATCCATCAGGCTTACAACAGGCTGAAGCTGCAGTGTACTTCATTCCTAGAATGAGGAAAATTGGTATTATCTCTATTGTTTTCCTGTCTCTATTTCAACATGAAGAATAGGTCCAGAGCTTTCCCTGCCAAACTTCCTGTGACACACGATATGAAACAGCATGCAGATCTTCACATTTTTGTTCTAGTTAAATAATATTAACAAGCCATAGACCTTGATGAGTCCCCAGTGGCATTACTTATCTGAAACAAAACACTTCAGGTGTTTTATTCTCTTGCCAGATTGTTACAGTAGACTCCTCTTCAATAAATGTCAGGTTCTTCTTGACCAAATTATCTCCCATTGCTTAGTTTCTGTTCATATTTCTGTTGTAGTCAATGAGAACTCTAACATAAATAGTGCTCCAGCTTCACAGCCCTTTTCAAAACTGTTACCTACCCCTAATGGGAGCAAATAGTAAACTCATCAGCTGGACCTCTGTCTGTGCTAGGTCTTCCAGTATTGCTGACCTTGTGTTAGTAATACCAGAGATTTTTTTCTTGGCAAATTGGACTTAAATCTGCAAGGTAATTATCATGGCTACTTAGATCATTGAAAAGCCAACTATATTGGAATGAGCTGACAGCTTTGTTTTTTTTCTACCATATTTACCACATTTACTCAAATCCAAGACAAGCACCTCATCTTGGATTGGAGTACAAGGTAGAAGGGGAAACAGGAAGCTTCTGCACCTCTGTTCCCCCACACCCTCTTCCCCTTTCCCCTCCAGGGCTCTGCCCCTTCCCCTCCCTTCATCACTTACCATCCAGCACAGGTTGAGCTCAATTCTGGTTGGGGGCACAGAGCACAGGTTAGCTTTGGCTTAGGCCCTGGCCTGGCCACGCAACAAGAGACACTACTGCTGCATGGCCAGGCTGAGTCTGCTCAAAAGCTACCCTGTGTGGGGAGGGGCAGAGGTGGCATGGTGCAGGCACCATCAAAGGGTGTAGACACTGTGGGGTGGGAGGGAGACAAAAAGGGATGGGGAGCAGATCACTTGCCTCCCCCTTTCTCCCTCACCCCTTATGCTGCTGCTGCTTTTCTTGCTCTAAAAGTGGGGGGACGAATTTAAGATGACCTTCCAGTAGTTGGATTATGTACATGGAAAATTATAACAAATGTATACATTTTCCTCTGTATAGAATCTAATTATTGGGGGTGAGGCGTTGTCTTGAATTCATAGTTGTCTTGGATTTAAGTAAATGTGGTAATACTTTGATCAGTCTCAAACTTCTAGTATCTTGCATGTAGTTCTCCCAGTGGCAGTATTTAGTAGTACTCAACATTTTTCTTTATTATGTCTCTAGCTTTAAGATCAGATATGTTAAGTTTGGTTGTAGTCTTACATCTGAAGGTAGGAGCCTGAGATCTCTTTGATTTGGCATTTCTCAGCTGCACATCCGTCAAGTCGGGCCAATTAAGATAAAGTTAACTTTAAGGTTGGCAGCTGTGTCCTGATCTCAGCCCATGAGTAGCACAGCCAAGCTTTTCCTTATAGCTCAGAACATCCAAGCACCATATGGGGAGATGGTTTACTCCAACTGGAATAGATGAGGCCCCTTATTGAGTCACCCCTGCCACTTTCTGCAATGCTCTGGGTTTTCTTATGGAATCTCCTATTCCAATTCTTTGTAAACTGGCAAGGGCAGAGCCTGAGATACTGCAAAAAAAGAAATCTAATCATCCAGCTCCCCACACTATCCCTGCATATTTTATTTTTTATTTTTTCCTCAGTTTTATCTCCATCTCCGACCTCCAGCATCAACAGTGTACACCATGCTGCAGTCACCTTACTTGGAGCACCACTGAGTTTAAGGAATGGGTTCGCCAAAGTGAAGGCCTTTTGTCCAAACAGAGTGCTCTGCCACGGGCTCACCTGATACTCATTGGCTATCTAACCGATGGAAGGCAGGAGGAGGGAGAGAAGCGGGTAGATGGCAGCCTATATGTGAAAGACAACAGCGGTGCAGTTCCTTGTGAGGTACATCAGCAGAACAACCTGATGGATTATGTTCTTACTACCATTTCTGAGAGGAAGCCCAGACTACTGAAAAGTTTAAACTGTTTGCAAAAGATATCTAAGGGCCAGATTCTATTTCACATGTTAGGCATGTAAGTGCAATCTTAGCCTATCCTTATCAAGTCCCTGAAAAACTAATATAAAATGTGGGTGGATTCTCCTTGCTGCTTTTTTTGTGACTCAGTCTTAAGGATTAGATGATAGAGAGTCAGACAAGTAGATGCATGCATGGATTTTCAGGGACTCAGCCAGAGCAAAATAGAATTGCACTCAGGGTGCCTGTGTCTGCTTAGATGCCTAATAGGTGGAATATAATTTGGCCCCAGATATCTATTTTAGAAGGAGAAGGCAATAAGCCCAAATCCAGGGGAAATGGGTTGAATCATTAATTGCTTGTGAGCTAACTCCCGCACTTACAGGGCTGGAGAATTAGTAAAGAAAAGAGATAAGGTATGAAGATCGATGTTGGTAATTCCTGTTGAAGTCTAATTTCAGTTATTAATTAATGGGGCAAACCCCAGAAAATGGGGGCTCTGAAAGTCCTGGAAGGCTAATGGAGCCAATAGCAATAAACAGTGCTGCTTGAGTTACAGGTTCAGAGCAAAAACAACAGGAACCTGGGGGATAATTGGGCTCTCAGTAATGCATGTGATATGCCATTTCATGGGTTGGGTGCTGCTGTGCTAAAACCTGCCTGGAGGATCCAAAACAAAAAGGGTATAGGAAAATTGTAGGAACTGGAGAGTGACACTTGTGACAGGCATGTGGCTCTGTGTTGCTGCCTCTAGTGTTCTAGGTTAGGGGTGACCAAACACCTCAACTCTTTTAGCCACAAGCCAAAATCTTCTCACATTTGAGAACTGCTGACTATACAACTTGTACTCCAGAGTCAGTGATCTATGCACTGCTCCCACTGCCCTTTCTTCAAGAAGTGCCTTTAAAGTGCTTAGGAGCTGCATACTGCATGGGCATGTGGTTTGGCCACCACTGATTTGAAGAAATAGGTAGTGGGAGGCAGAGGCTGTTACATATGCAGAATGTTAGGATGAGCTTTACAAGTAGCAGTGAAGGTGAGAGAGTTGGAAAAGTTAGAAATGCAGAGTGGAAAAACCAAGTGCGATTAAAAGTTAGGAAGCAAACTCTCAATAAATCCCCACTATTCTCTTGGAAGAATACCTGGGCTCAGGGAATGCCATTCCCAGCATTGAGGAAATTGCAGGTGGGTTTGTAAGGCTACGTTCACTTCTGGAATGAAGAGGCTTTTCTGTCTCTCTTTTTCTATAGGTTAGTTACTACCTTTGTCTGGGGAGCAGTAAAGCATGGCTAGGTATTAATCCCAGCTCTAAAATGAGTAATGAAAGTTTATGATGTGCCAAGGAAAGGTTATGTTAATGCCATAGATGACTTAGCAAGGAAGTTGTATTATCACTGTTTCTTAAAATTGTAGCCCCTCTTCTCTTTTGGTTTAGCTCCTACGTTTTGAGCTGGAGTGGCTGGAGTTGCTGTTTCTCTTCCCCAGTTGGGCATATGTGCCACAGAAGGACCATCGGACAGGAGGGTATGTGGAGATCCTGGCAGACCCGGTACCAGTGAATCCTGTACCAGAGAGGATGGTTAACACAATCCCTGTTATCTACCCAGTGCCAGCTATGCAGCTGCTCATCACCAGGTAATATTCAATATAGTCAATAGGAAGCGTGGCTGCTGTCATTGTTGCTTGTCACAGGCAAGGTTCCCTCTAAGGTGCGCAGCTGCGCACAGGTAAAAGTCTGGCCATGCACAAACTTTTTTATGCCGCGCACCCGCCAAGATAGGAGCTGGGCTGCAGTGTGGGACACTTACAGAAGGTAATTTCCTCCCCGAGGCAAAGCGGAGGCAGGGGTGGGAGCCTGGCGTGGGCTCCGCTGGCTCCAGGGAACTCCTCCGTTACCCCACTTCACCTCAGGGAGGGAGGAGGCATGTGGTGTCAGGGCTGGGGAGT